CATTTTGTGGGTAGAGCTTTGGAATGTGTGTACATCTTCACTGTCAATTATTTGTATCATTCATTTTGTTGGTAGAGCTTTGGGATGTATGTACATCTTCACTGTCAATTATTTGTATCATTCATTTTGTGGGTAGAGCTTTTGGATGTGTGTTCATCTTCACTGTCAATTATTTGGATCATTCATTATGTGGGTAGAGCTTTGGGATGTATGTACATCTTCACTGTCAATTATTAGTATCATTCATTTTGTGAGTAGAGCTTTGGGGTGTGTGTACATCTTCACTGTCAATTATTTGTATCATTCATTTTGTGAGTAGAGCTTTGGGATGTGTGTGCATTTTCACTGTCAATTATTAGTATCATTCATTTTGTGGGTAGAGCTTTGGGGTGTGTGTACATCTTCACTGTCAATTATTTGTATCATTCATTTTGTGGGTAGCTTTGGGATGTGTGTACATCTTCCCTGTCAATTATTTGTATCATTCATTTTGTGGGTAGAGCTTTGGGGTGTGTGTACATCTTCACTGTCAATTATTTGTATCATTCATTTTGTGGGTAGAGCTTTGGGATGTGTGTACATCTTCACTGTCAATTATTTGTATCATTCATTTTGTGGGTAGAGCTTTGGGATGTGTGTACATCTTCACTGTCAATTATTTGTATCACTCATTTTGTGGGTAGAGCTTTGGGGTGTGTGTACATCTTCACCTGTCAATTATTTGTATCATTCATTTGAGGGTAGAGCTTTGGGATGTGTGTACATCTTCACTGTCAATTATTTGTATCACTCATTTTGTGGGTAGAGCTTTGGGGTGTGTGTACATCTTCACCTATCAATTATTTGTATCATTCATTGGAGGGTAGAGCTTTGGAATGTGTGTACATCTTCACTGTCAATTATTAGTATCATTCATTTTGTGAGTAGAGCTTTGGGGTGTGTGTACATCTTCACTGTCAATTATTTGTATCACTCATTTTGTGGGTAGAGCTTTAGGATGTGTGTACATCTTACCTGTCAATTATTTGTATCATTCATTGGAGGGTGGAGCTTTGGAATGTGTGTACATCTTCACTGTCAATTATTTGTAACATTCATTTTGTGGGTAGATCTTTGGGATGTGTGTACATCTTCACTGTCAATTATTAGTATCATTCATTTTGTTGGTAGAGCTATTGGGTGTGTGTACATCTTCACTGTCAATTATTTGTATCATTCATTTTGTGAGTAGAGCTTTGGGATGTGTGTACATCTTCACCTGTCAATTATTAGTATCATTCATTTTGTGGGTAGAGCTTTGGGATGTGTGTACATCTTCACCTGTCAATTATTAGTATCATTCATTTTGTGGGTAGAGCTTTGGGATGTGTGTACATCTTCACTGTCAATTATTAGTATCACTCATTTTGTGGGTAGAGCTTTGGGGTGTGTGTGCATCTTCACTGTCAATTATTTGTATCATTCATTTTGTGTGTAGAGCTTTGGGGTGTGTGTACATCTTCACTGTCAATTATTTGTATCATTCATTTTGTGGGTAGAGCTTTGGGGTGTGTGTACATCTTCACTGTCAATTATTTGTATCATTCATTTTGTGGGTAGAGCTTTGGGGTGTGTGTACATCTTCACTGTCAATTATTTGTATCATTCATTTTGTGAGTAGAGCTTTGGGGTGTGTGTACATCTTCACTGTCAATTATTTGTATCATTCATTTTGTGGGTAGAGCTTTGGGATGTGTGTACATCTTTACTGTCAATTATTTGTATCATTCATTTTGTGGGTAGAGCTTTGGGGTGTGTGTACATCTTCACTGTCAATTATTAGTATCATTCATTTTGTGAGTAGAGCTTTGGGGTGTGTGTACATCTTCACTGTCAATTATTAGTATCATTCATTTTGTGAGTAGAGCTTTGGGATGTGTGTGCATTTTCACTGTCAATTATTTGTATCATTCATTTTGTGGGTAGAGCTTTGGGATGTGTGCATCTTCACTGTCAATTATTTGTATCATTCATTTTGTTGGTAGAGCTTTGGGATATGTGCATCTTCACTGTCAATTATTTGTATCATTCATTTTGTGGGTAAAGCTTTGGGATGTGTGTACATCTTCACTGTCAATTATTTTTATCATTCATTTTGTTGGTAGAGCTTTGGGATGTGTGTACATCTTCACTGTCAATTATTTGTATCATTCATTTTGTGGGTACAGCTTTGGGATGTACTGTGTACATCGTCACTGTCAATTATTTGTATCATTCATTTTGTAGGTAGAGCTTTGGGGTGTGTGTACATCTTCACTGTCAATTATTTGTATCATTCATTTTGTGGGTAGAGCTTTGGGATGTGTGCATCTTCACTGTCAATTATTTGTATCATTCATTTTGTGGGTAAAGCTTTGGGATGTGTGTACATCTTCACTGTCAATTATTTGTATCATTCATTTTGCGGGTAGAGCTTTGGGATGTGTGTACATCTTCACTGTCAATTATTTGTATCATTCATTTTGTGAGTAGAGCTTTGGGATGTGTGTACATTTTTTTTTTTTCAGTTTATTTATTTCAATTTCCTTGATATTGATATACAAAAGTATGCCTTTGTTAACTTAATAACATTATCGGCATAGTAAATATTAAAAATATAATACAGGAAATACAAAATACAAAAACCACGTAGTATGTTCAGTCTATATGTATGCTTGCTCCCCATCCCACCCATAAGGTTCCCAAAGGAATTTAGAATGTTTCACTGGCTGTTTAAAACTGTGATTGCTGTTGAGACATAGTGAGCCACGATTTCAATAATTTTGCTATTCATCACATCACTAAGGTTGGTATCCCCATACAAAAGTGTATCTGATTTCTTAGAGATTGTTAAATTTCTGAAATCTGGCAGACATTCCAGTTCGTCGTGTGTGCATTTTCACTGTCAATTATTAGTATCATTTATTTTGTGGGTAGAGCTTTGGGATGTGTGCATCTTCACTGTCAATTATTTGTATCATTCATTTTGTTGGTAGAGCTTTGGGATGTGTGCATCTTCACTGTCAATTATTTGTATCATTCATTTTGTGGGTAAAGCTTTGGGATGTGTGTACATCTTCACCTGTCAATTATTAGTATCATTCATTTTGTGGGTAGAGCTTTGGGATGTGTGTACATCTTCACCTGTCAATTATTAGTATCATTCATTTTGTGGGTAGCTTTGGGATGTGTGTGCATTTTCACTGTCAATTATTTGTATCATTCATTTTGTGGGTAGAGCTTTGGGATGTGTGCATCTTCACTGTCAATTATTTGTATCATTCATTTTGTGGGTAAAGCTTTGGGATGTGTGTTATCTTCACTGTCAATTATTTGTATCATTCATTATGTGGGTAGAGCTTTGGGATGTGTGTACATCTTCACCTGTCAATTATTTGTATCATTCATTTTGTGGGTAGAGCTTTGGGATGTGTGCATCTTCACTGTCAATTATTTGTATCATTCATTTTGTGGGTAAAGCTTTGGGATGTGTGTACATCTTCACTGTCAATTATTTGTATCATTCATTATGTGGGTAGAGCTTTGGGGTGTGTGTACATCTTCACTGTCAATTATTTGTATCATTCATTTTGTGGGTAGAGCTTTGGGGTGTGTGTACATCTTCACTGTCAATTATTTGTATCATTCATTTTGTGAGTAGAGCTTTGGGGTGTGTGTACATCTTCACTGTCAATTATTTGTATCATTCATTATGTGGGTAGAGCTTTGGGATGTGTGTACACATCTCAATGGTTCTTATTGCTGAAGGAACATCCAGACATCAGGGTACGTTTTAATATGTCAACTCTTCACTGTTAACAATGACTATTGTAACATTTGGAAAGAAAGCCCGCAAGTCCCCATGTGTATGTAGCATGTTGTTGCACTTATTGTTACAATTGATATAAAATATTGATATATAGGCCTACCAAATATTCCATTCTGTTGAGGTGAATACTTGTTCGGGCAAGGTAAATATACCTTGGGGAACGATGAACATGTATTAAATGAAAATTAATCCCTGCGACTTTGGGTCATATTTTTGCTCACCCTGTAATTGCAATTTACCAAATCATCATTTTAAACATATTAAAGCGCGTATTGTTATTATTTAAAATATTTATTATTTACGCGTGTAAAATTCCGGTACGTTTTATTGTGTCACCAGTATAAGAGGAATAAAAATACGTTATAATACAGGGTGTTCAAAAAACGCAATCTAAAGAAATCGCTATATCCTGGAAAATATTAACCCAATTCTGTTTAGTTTTTCAGGAAAGAAAGAAGAGACTGTGTACGTATAGCTCCTGTAGTTTGTTAGTTGTAAATCATGATGCCTTGGACACCTGCTCAAAAGTTGACATTAGTATTAGAAAAATACGAAAAACTCAACAGCAATAAAACCTAATAACTTTCTAACCACAGTGTTCTGGCACTTCAGATTTGGCACAAATATTGATTTCAATCTACAGATTTATCATACATTGAATGAAGATGATTTGTGCCAAATTTGAAGAGTCAAAACAGTATGGTTAGGAAGTTATTTAGTTTTTTGCGGTTGCAGTCACCCCTGACTGGGGTTTTCATATTTTCTAGTACAAATGTCTTTTGAGCAGGTGTCCAAGGCATCGAGGGAGCTATACATACACAGTCTCTTCTTTCTTTCCTGAAAAAATGAACATAATTGAATTAGTATTTTTCAAGATTTTTTTAAGCGATTTCTTTGGATTGCTTTTTTGAACACCCTGTAGTATTCCAGAGTCTAATTAATGTAAGGTAGGATTAATATTGAGACAGTAATCTTAGGATCCAGTGACCCACGATCCATGCTTCTTTGGGACTTCCATTACTTCTACACCGACTTCCATAACTTTTACATCATTTCTTTATTAGCAATTTCTTTAAAATATGGGACTGGTAAAATATCAATATGGGGTCAAATGGCATAATATCGCATAATGTTCACCAACAAGAGAAACGAATTGCAATGCTCGAATATTTATTTTATTAACTTATTTTACATAAGATCCAATGTGTGTTATATGACTTTGTGTTGTCTTGACTTTCCAACGTTTTCACTTTCTAAGAGTGTTGACCAGTAATTGCCAAGGAGATTTAGAATTCAACAATCCAAATTTATATAAGCCAAATGGGTCCATATTGATTGCTAAAAATTAATTTAGATACCAATATACGCCTGTCTCTGAAGATTTAATTTTCTGTTTTCCCGATTTCTGGATAGCATGTCGATTATAGAGTAATATGTTTCCCTTTCCCGTGTCCAGTTTCAGTTCGGTAATGTCCAGATTTATTTCGCCAGATTCATTCTGATGTCCAGTTTTAGTTCCAGTTGTATCTGTTGTCTATGGCTTCTCCCAGGGACAAGTCACATTTCCTTAAATTAGAAATCGAATAATTACTATACATGTACATCTTGGATGATGTTTTAGTATAACTATTCTGAATATTTAAAGTTGTGACCAAACTCTCATTTTAATTTTCAAGTTGTCTTTACCAGTTTTACATATTTCCATTGTTAGGTGACGACCAGCATATTCAAGTTCTGTGAACGGTCCATCGAGTGCGTCTTCTACTTGCATGTTCACAATGGTACACTCTATTGGGGGAGATGCAATGAATTTCCACTCTCTTTCATAGCCATCGCTTATGTTCTTGTGATTCGGCAGTCCTTTAAATATATCATATTATGCAATGGCGGTATTATGTAAAACCTGTAATATATGTTAAAGTATTACAAATACAATTAACGAAACACTAAAAAGGAAACAAACGCCAATCATTCCAAAACACTGAACTACACATAGTCATATGGACGTTTAAGTCCAAAGAAACCATCACTAACAATACATGTTGACTAAACAGAGTACCCAAATAAATAAGTCTGACGGGTTTCACTCAGCTGTCACTTATGAACATGTCTCTGATAGGTAAATGACCCCGATCTGCCCAATTTCCCATAAGTCTCAAAAATCCATTCAATGGTCAAAACACGGGATGACAAGTATCAAATGACTTTCAGCTTCCAACGAATAAGTCATTTAGACAATAAGACAAGAGAAACAATACAAACCAGATGTCCAACAGAATCAACAGTACTAATGACCTTTATATTTAAATTTCGACAAGTTACCTGCAAAATTCATAACATTGACTAAGTATTTCCATATTCAACAACTCATTTGTCAAAATATTAGAAGACAGATTTTGTAGCTTTTGACTACAATCTTACATTTTTCACAAAATCTACACTTTTGCGCAAGTAATCTGAAATCTTACCAGTTACATACATTTCCCCACCAATGTCTTTTATCCTTTGTGCTGCGTTTATTGTATCATTCCCTTCGTATGCTTTTCTGTCACCTTTCTTCCAAGTTCTTCCATCAGTAAATATCACAACAATTTTCCGCACATGGCTTTGGTTCCGTCCATTTGTCTTTAACTCATTCAAAGCTGCATCTGTCAAAACAATTACTTGAATTTTATCTTTCAGATCAAATAAAAAGATGTTTATAAATGCCTGTAACATTTTACCATTTGTGAGTTGAACCATGATACATGACAAATCAATGTAACTTTGGATAAGGTTTAAAATGATGTATGACACATACCTGTACTATGAGGACATTGGTATATGTCTGCCTGGGGGGCATACTTTCGGGACACCCTTATATAGATAGTTTAATACTGCTTACTAAGATTTGATATATTACAAAAAGAGTTGTAAAGTATTTTAGATAAGGTTGAGAGTAGTAATATAATATTTTTTGAAATGTAAGCGAAATATTCCATAAAAGTGAAGCTAGGCGTACATACCCAATGCTTTGTGAGTGTGTGTAAATTTTTCTGTTGCCCTTGCTATATTGCCTATTACGCTTATAAGGCCAGTCTTACCATATTGACCCAAGTGAGCGTGTATTTCAACGTCAAGCCCATACGATATCACGGCAATCTAAATAAAAATAGGTTTTATGAATGACTTATCAAACTTGAGCTTAGAAAACATCATGCTTTTACAAGGTTTACCACGAAGGTTGAAAACATAATTCATTCAGACCAATTTTCTAATAGGCAGCTTGTTTTTTAGCGAAAATGAAAGTGATTGTAAAGTATCACAAATACTGTATAACCAATTAATTCGACCTAGTCTGTTCAGACGACTTCAATATGTTGATAAAACTACAACGGAGTGGATAGGAAGGTTTGTCCGTTATAGTTTATCGAGTTATTTTTAGTGAAAAAACTAAAAAACATATCGTAGCGTTTCATTCAATCGGAGTAAATAACCTACTCTATGCAATGGGTATATCCTTTAGTATTTTTTAAAGAAAAGCAGCTTGGTCCCCATGGCAGTCAAATCCTCCGATCCCAACCCTTGATTACATATTGCAACATCTCGATTAATCAACAAAACATATGAAATATTTGTTGATAACACACTTTAGTAACCATACAGTATATACCTGTAATCCTCCACAGTAAGTCCTATCAATATCAGTGGGTTCAAGAATTTTCTTTTGAACTTTGATGAAATCGTCAAAGAATTCTAGTGTAATATTGACATCTTTCTTTTTGATACTATTGGAGCGGTCAACGATTAATACAACATCAGCCGTGCAACAACACTCTGGGTTATCTGAATACGAAAATATAATTATTTCGCCACTGTGTAAATCCATTGGATTAACAATTGAGGATTTTACTCCTAATGTAATACGAGATATTGTTGTAGCAAGGGGACGTCAGATTGACTCATTCTGTGCATTGCATCCCTGTTTATTTCAAATTTCGTCCTAAGCGATGCAATAAAAATGCATGATAAAATATATCAAATAAATTATCTATGGTAACTATAATATATAAACGTCCTGAAGCGCATTTCATCATTAAAGGCAGAATCAGATCTAGCCTATGGGGTTGACAAAATTACAAGCAACATGTACAATTGACCTACACTCCCCTCCATAAGTTTGGCAACCTATGCTCCCCATTGAACTACGTGTTAAAGCATCTTTACGTTTGAGTTTACTTACCCTGCGATGAAATTACTTGTAATATTGATGAAACGTTACTTGTCTTTATTTCCAATACCTCCAAATTTTTCCGCAATTACAAAAGGTCGAAAATTGATGATAAATTTGATGAATTGTTGAAAATCGTCATTCCTATGTAAACCAATGGGGAATGGTGGGTTCGGTGCAAATTAAAAATCAGGATATCTATTCAGTAAATATTTTTATATAGAAAATTGAATCGTCTAACTTTTTTGCACACTAAGTATTTAGTTTACTTGATGGATACTAAAGTTACAGAGCTTCAAAGTCATTTTTGAAAATCATTTTTCGCCTCCTGTGTTATTTCAATGGGAGAGGTCTTTTGAAAAAAACTTTAACTTTAAAGACCTATAACTTTGTCGAACCTGAAGAAACGTATCAATTTTTTGTTAAATAAAGATAGCAAATTCAATTGCCTACTTAACTTGTTTTTTGCAATGACTCGAGGTGATGGATATTCTGTCAAATGACTTGCGGCAAACCTACCATTTCCCATTAGTTAACATGGGAATGTGGATTTTCAAAAAATCTTTATCATCAATTTTTGACCTATCGTAATTGAGGAAAAATTGAGAAAATTTGGAGGTATTGGAAATTAAGTCAGGTTACGTTTCCATTAATATTTTATGTATTTTCATAGCAGGTTAAGTAAATAAAAAATCAAAGGTAAGAGGCTTTAACACGTAGTTCAATGAGGGAGCTAAGGTTGCCAAACTTATGGAGGGGAGTGTACCAATCTATTCCTTACAATCTCATATACAATATCTCTCAGAAGATTCACGATATGTTATAAATTGGTGAAGTTACTTAAGTATGATGGATTCAACGTGCAAAAATGGGTGAAAAATGTTTAAATTCTCTCAAATAATGAGAATGGTAACCATTCTTATAGAAAAATGATACATTATTGTAAAAATCTTTAGTTTTCCTGAAATAAAGTGTGCACTTATGGGATTTTTAGAAAATAAAAATGAAAAGGAATGACACAAAAAATATTCTAAAATTGAAACAATTTTTTGTCAGGCTGCTCGCTAGATCTGATTCTCTCTTTAAGAAAAGGCAAAATGAGCAATAGCACGTAGTTTTTAGAAGATACTGGCTATGTTATTTTCTGGTTAAGAGATGAAATATGAAGACATGGGTGTATATAACTATACCCGGGTAACCATACCTCAAGCAGTATCAATGTGTGCTTAAACAGTGGTATTTACTGAGGCCAACTTCTCAGAATCATATTTTCCAAAGAACAAGGAAGCTTTCCTGAAAAATCTAAGTTATAACACCCTTGTTTTCACTCAATGGGCTCAAACAGGAATTAACAGGATCGGATAAAACAAATATAGTTAAAAATAGTTCGCCCTTTAGAGGATCTATTTGTTTGATCAAGATCAATTGCAATAAAGTAGAATTTCAAATACTAATATGATATCTATGACCTCGTGATACCTGTTTTTATTCCACACGATTGTAACACAATGTCAACATCTTGATCAACACCTAATCCAAGTCCGTCCACATTTATGAAGTCCACACCTGAGCCCCCTGGATAGTTGTCTAAAACCTAAACAGCAGGAAAATTATTATTTTCTTCTGACTAACTTGAAACCACGTGTATTGAATGTATAAACGTGTTTAAGGTAGGTATTGATTAACGTGAATTTTGGATATGGGTTAATATAAATACCATCCATTCATTAGCCCCGGTAATTTCGTCACCTGCTTTTTCTGTCTCAATCTTTACAACCTGCATGTAAAATCACAAAGATGACATACTACAGTATATGTTTTGTTGAATAAAAAGAAAGATGTTGTTATTTTGGGTAACTACTAAGAATAATCACCCGAGACGTGACCAACATTATTGCACACTGTGTAAGAAGGTGTTTAGTCAAGTAGAGGGGGGGGGGAGGATCGCAGAGTCTTGTAGCTAGACTAATTTTAAGTAGCAGATAACATAATGTCCATAAGTTACATGTTTATATGAATGGAAGTCAGTTCGGTTCTCAAAATGGATTTCTTCCATCGAGACGACCTACTAAATTTATTAATTAATTGATATTTATGAAAGCTATCCAGAGTGACTCAAATGTAAAGTTCTTATCATTTATTGTTTTTAACAGCTTTTAACATAAAACGACATTCCCGGGGATTGCTCATCTCAAATATCAATTATATTCCCGCTAACGCTACTAAGTATGGGATAAAATAACATATATAATACATATGTCACCAAATGTTACCTCCTACCTCGAAATAGAAAGAAAAGAATTCTTCATGAAAGCAAAAAAGGTAGTTCCACACTTTTAGGAGATACCGGGGGGATGCTGTACCTTGGTTTTAGCAAATGTTTACCTGTATGTTAATATCTGTTTTCCTCTGTATGCGCAGAGCTTCATCTATTGTATCAAATCTTGGTTTTCCCGGGTTACGCTTGGTACTTGAGGATATCCCGTCAGTGAATATTACAATATTTTTTGGGAAAAACTTTTCCTTGTCGATGTCATTTTTTTGCAGGTCCTTAATCTTTTTTCGACATATTTCTAAGGCTTTGTGAGTTTGTGCCTGGCAATCATTACATTTTTTTCCAGACTTGAAGATTTTTCTCGATTGGATTTCTCCACCTTTCCTCAACCATCCTTCTTCAGAGTTTGCATTTGAGCTATATGTAACAATTGTGAATCTTGATTGGTCACTCAATTTACCCATAATCGTATTGATATCTCTCTTAATGCTATCCATGACATCTTCTGCATTTTCCATACACGATGTCTGAACAATGAAACATATATCTGCGCAGGCTGAAATACAAGAAGGATAATTGTTATTGATAATTGGGAGGATTCGGAAGTAGTGGATTCTTTCATTGGAGTGTCCTCCATTTTGATCTCTATCAAGTTGTAGGGTAGTTTTGAAAAGCATGGATTTTTTTATGACACTAAGTCGCAAGAGGGGAGTCATTTGGACCCTCCCCCTCACCCTCTGCGATTTTTCATTACTTGTCTGATTTCATTATTGTTAGTGTTGTTGTAAACCTTATTCAATTAACTCTTCAGAAAGGTTTTTTTTAAAGTAGGTCAACATAGGTCAAATCGAGGTTAATGTTACTAGTTTAGTTTTAGTTTAAAATAGTTTATTTTTGTGTCACTGACATTACAATATACATATAAAATACATAATAAAAACAACATTTTGTAACATCACCAGCCGGTGCCGACTTATGAGACACAGTATACATTATATCTGAGTGTCACCCATTACTACCCCCAATGGGCAGCTTGGGTCAACACTCATAAAGACAGAGACAAAAAATGTCCCTGGTAAAAATTTATACATGATTAATAACCAATGATATAAATTCAGTCTGATTAATCAGTTTGGCATAAATAAATAAGCAGTTCATGTAGGGTTACTTAGGGGTGTACTTTTTTGACATTTTGTGATAAATTGTCAATTTTCTTTCAAAACAATTTTTGTGCCAAAAATGCTTCGCTGCCTTAAAGAATAATCTATTATCTTTCAAATAAAACTAAAATCATGGTAAAAGCTTTTGTAGAACTAAAGTTACACACTTTCAAAGATAGCAGGTATCGCGAAATCCCATTGAAATCAATGTAACATGAAATTGAATGGTCGGGAATTTCAAGTTCAACTTGTTTTTGTCTTTAGCATTCATATTTCAAGATGTACAACAAATGCCAATCAGTGATTTAGTATGAAGATGTATGAATGTTTAACTAAGTACTGTTCCAATATAATTTCGGTCCAAAGAAAGCAGTTATCGCGAAATTTCAAGTTCAACTTGTTTTTGTCTTTAGCATTCATATTTCAAGTTGTACAACAAATGCCAATTAATGATTTAGTATGCTGATGTATAAATGTAGGACTCGGTATTGTTCCAATATGATTTCGGTTCATGATGTTGCCTAGCAACCACCTAGCAACAGCACAAATATCGAAATAGTGAAATTGAAAAATCGTGGGTAGGGGAGAATAAAAAATCATATCTAAAATTTGGAAGAAGGTTTCATCATAATTCTGGTACCACAGTGTGCAGTGAACATTTAGGAATATGCAAAAAAATCTAAAGCATTTATCAATTCAGTTTTTCTCTAAAATTTGGGAAGATTACGCGATACGCGACTACTTGGTGATTGACTGTTTTTACCTTCAAAAATTCATATCACAGTCAATAATGGCTAGATTTTCATGACATAAAGCATATTGGAAAGAAAATTCAATATTTTCAAAATAAACTTTTATCCATCAAACAGAGCAATGTAGTTTCTATTTTGTATTTTCTAGAGCATTAGAAACAAAGTAACAATCAATATTTTATAAAGTTCAATTCAATTGGCATCAAGTTCCAACTATCATGGCTTTGCCCCTCTACCCCAAACCAAGTGGTTTTTACGCCAAAAATGTCTTATATCTGTGGTTCAAACTAAAAAATAACGGAGGCGTAAAAAAGTTGCAAAAAAGTTCTCTAGAAGAAATCGAAAAACATTAGGGTTAATCGTATCTATAGTTATAAAGTTAAAAGCAACAAATATACATGCGTAACACTTGTAATTGTATATCCAACTGATCAATGAAGGGCTGTACACTTTTATATAAATGTTTAGGTATTTTGAACTTTGTAATAAAAAAAACAGAAAAGATATTTATATCACAATTTATGAAATAACACATTTCTCATCTTATAATTTCATGAAATTTTGAGGTATTATATTTGAGATGGTTTTGCACACGTTTGAGGTTTAATTGTCGCTGATTCATGATTGGAAAATTGAACTGATTGCTGTATGAAAAAGTAATAATGAAAATTCATGACACGTTTGATCTTACCCTGAGATGGTTCGCTCTCATCAATGCACTGTTGCTCAAAATAACCTTCTGGTATTCGGATATTGTGGCCGCTTCTCCCTCCGCCCGTAGGCACTCGTGTACCTTTTAGAGAATCTTTTTTATCATGACTTTGCATCTTTTCTAGCGTATCAGATGGAAAATATATTACAATATCCTCATCGGCTTCTCTGAGTTGTTTGATATTTACTCCCTCACTTGATGGTAACATCAAGGCTACGACGAGCAGGATAACGTAAAACAACATTTCGAAAGCGATCTACAAAAATAGAAACACCTGCATGGAATTCTGGTAATTCTTCGGGAAATTTCAATTATTTATATTAACAATATATAATATATATAACTAGATTTTGGAAATTGAACGAGTTCAATTTCAGACTCCAGATCTAGACTTTTTTTTAGTCGAGTCATCCAGAATAAGCCGAGTCATCCAAAATAAGCTGAGTCATCCAGAAAAAGATGGATGGATAAAATAGGAAGGTAGGATAGGATAGAATAGGAAGGAACGATAGGATAGAATAAGAAAGAAGGATAGGATAGAACAGAATAGGAAGAAAGGATATGATAGGAGAGGATAGGAAGGATAGGAAGGAAATGATACGAAGGAAGGATAGATAGGAAGGATAGGATAGGGTAAGATCAGATAGGAAGGATGGATGAATTTTTCAATATTTTCTTCTCTACTCTTGACTTTCTATCAGGATACCATCAGATCGATTTTCCGAAATTTCAAAACGCCATAACTCCCGAACCAGGAGTCGAATCGAAATATGATTTAAAGATTCGGATTCCTGACAAAATTCTACCCCTAATTCATAACTCATACGTTACATTTGGCGAATTTTTATTTTGACCTACTTTTCGGACACCATATCTCAAAAGTGGGGCAAAATACTTTCTGACGGCAAAAGGCTAACACTATTAGCACACTCTTGGCTACATGTATACAAAATTTCGAAGAATATAATTAATCTGTAGTGTCAGAATCGCAAAAATAAGGAAAAACCTTGAATTTGACCTAGATTTTGACCTAGGGATTTTGGTGTCCAAATTTTGAAGTTAAGTAGCCTTCGAGGTCCCCTTCTTTCATAGGCTTTCATTATTTTTAGCTGTAATTAGTTTATATCTTGTATTTTACACTTCAAAAAATCTTTTTTCCATTGACATAACATGGGACTCCAAATTTAGCAATTTTTGAGCTTTCAAAATGTCATAACTTCCGAACCAGAAGTCAGATTGAAATTTGATTTGCAGATTCGGATTCCTAGGAGAATTCTATACTTAATTCATAACTCAAACGTCATATTTGGAGAATTTTTTATTTTGACCTACTTTTCGGACACCATATCTCAAAAGGGGGGCAAAATACCTTCTGACGGCAAAAGACTAACACTATGAGCACACTCTTGGCTACATGTATACAAAATTTCGAAGAATATAATTAATCTGTAGTGTCAGAATAGCAAAAATAAGGAAAAACTTTGAATTTGACCTAGATTTTGACCTAGGCATTTTGGTGTCCAAATTTTGAAGCTAGATGGCTTTTGAGGTCCCATTCTTTTTAAACCTTTCATTATATTTAGCTGAACTCAGTCTATATTTCGTATTTTTCACTTCAAAAAAATCTTTTTTCCCATTGACTTAACATGGGCACCAAATTTAGCGATTTTTGAGCTTTCAAAACGCCATAACTTCCGAACCGGAAGTCTGATTAGAATTTGGATTTCAGATTCGGAATCCTGAGAAAATTCTCTATAAGACTAATATCCTGGACATTTGATTCGGAGAACTTTTTTTTGGACCTCGTTTTCGGACACTGATATCTCGAAATCGGTTTGAGATATCAAAAAACTAAATCGACCCTAGCTTACCTACTTTTTTATAAGGAACACAATGAAAAAAAACCGGATCAGAAATATTGAAGGACGACCGAGAAAATCGAAAAAAGTGACAAAGTACTGGATTTGACCTAGTTCTTGACCTTTGACCTAGATAAAAATTTGACCCCATTTCCCACCAACTAGATACTGAACCTTAATTGACCATATAATTGTCTTGAAAAGATACCTTATAGTTGTTGAGAAAACGTGATCAGTATAAGAATAATAAGAATAAGAATAAACAATAATGGCAAAAACAATAGACTCCAGATTTCATCTGGAGTCTAATAATGTTTGAGAAGAAAACTGATAAATCTGATGTTGCCTGTCAGATCAAATATAAATCAATGGAAAGCATTGAGTTGCTATGACGTTTTTTCTGTGACGGTAACATTTTTTTATTTATTTTTTATTTATTTTTTTTATTTCTCTATTCAAACAGTACAAGTACAATAATTAGAACAGTTCAGATATTTTTCACACCACCTCCATTCATTCAGACATTTGCAGCAGTCATACTTTTAAGTTCAGGAACATAATAAAACATATTTTTTTCAAATTGCGCCTCATACAGATTGGGATTCACTTCGTCGAACTCTTTGATAAAAATATAGTACTTAATTGCAAGGGTAAGTCTATTTGGTAAGATATTTTTCTTGTTAGCTTGCCTTCCAAAAACCATGTCATGGGCGTTAAAATCGATATCAACTTTAAATAAACGCTTTAAATTCGCTTTGATTGCTTTCAGAAATATTTGAATCCTTTTGCACTCCCAGGATTTGTGTTTTAACGTATCTCTAAAGGCACAATAGTTACATTTAGAGTCATTTTTAATGCCTATCTGCGCTAAAAAGGCATTTGTAGTGCAGATACCATGAAGTATTTTAAACTGAAGTTGTCGTTTTATTCTGTTTCGTACGGAAAGCTATAGGGGACCTGCGCATAATTCAAAATCGAATGGAGTTTTAACATGGGAGTGATATCACACACCGCGGCCCAGTCAGATAGATTTCATCGCGCACTGAATGAATTACAGGGGCCGCGTTGTACAAAGTTAATGGAGAGGTTAAGCTAACGATGTTTTTCACAACGTAACCGTGAACGCAAAGTACAAAAATTAACAAAGGAATGTATCGAGCGCTCATAGTTTTATGCGCGCTTAGTCTACTTCAGATACTCTTTCAGCTTCAGAGTTTCGGGTTTAGAACGGGAGATTTGAATATTTGACGTTGGGTCAACGGGAACCATTTTACTCGTGTCTATTGAACACTATGCTGTCAATTTTGATTTCGATGTACAGTTGAATTCTTGCTGAACACGATGATGTATGTCATGCATGATTTAGCGCCAAAAATCTTACGAAACGAGCTCGTTTAAAATATATATTAGAAAACCAGCTAAAACCGCATCAATGACATACTATAGAATCATTACACGCTATGGTGTAGTCTAAACAAACACTGGATTTGAACGGCTATTTATATGAGAAGGCTACATGAATTTGTATATGGTCGAGTGATACGTACAGGTTCAGTTTCGATTATATATGCAAAGCTTAACCTCTCCAGTTAAAATAAAGTGCGCAGAAATTCCGGCATTCAGTGCGCGATGAAAAAATGATTATCTGTGAATAAATAACGAATAAAAATTCGTGGCACCACGAATTTGATTTTTTTCGAAAGACTGCGGAGAAGGACTGCGGAGGAGAACTTTGAGATTTCCCGATTCTAGCGCGCAGCACATCCAGGACCATGATGCGCACTTTTATCAGATTCGATTCTAATATGGTTTCAAATATAATGTTCATTAAAAGAGGGCGTATGCATACAGATTACACGTGGCGTTATGTTGAAGTGACCCTTGCAAAGGGTTCCATTGAAATATATTATTTTGGGCCATTTCATATCTTTTAAGTGATATTGTATAAAACATTTTCAATATTTGAAAATTATAATCTTATAAATAACATTTTATGTAATAAAACTGTAACTGAAATGGTTAATACGAAATATGATGCAATACAATGCAGTGCAATATGATATAATACAATGCAGTGCAATATGATGCAATACGATGTGGTGCAATATGATGTAATACAATGCGGTGCAATATGATACAACACAATGCAGAGCAATATGATGCAATACAATGCAGTGCAATATGATATAATACAATGCAGTGCAATATGATGCAATACAATGTGGTGCAATATGATGAAATACAATGCGGTGCAATATGATGCAATACAATGTAGAGCAATATGATGCAATACAATGCAGTGCAATATGATGCAATACAATGTAGTGTAATATGATGCAATACAAAGCAGTGTAATATGATGCAAAAAATGCAGTGCAATATGATACAATACAATGTAGTGCAATATAATACAATAAAATGCAGTGCAATACGATGCAATACAATACAGTGCAATATAATGCAATACAATACATCGCAGTTCAATACAGTGCAATACAATACAATGCAGTGCACAATGCAGTGCAATACAATATGGTGCAGTGCAATATATTGCAGTGCAATACAATACAATGCAGTGTAATACAATTCAGTGTAACACAATGTGGTGCAGTGCAATACAATACAATGCAGTGCAATACAATACATTGTAACGCAATACAATGTAGAACACTACAGTACAATACAATGCAGTGCAATAAAGTACAATGCAGTGCAATATAATATAATACAATGCAATACAGTACAATATACGGCAATAAAATACAATGCAGTGCAATACAATAAAATGCAGTACAATACAATACAATGATGTGATATACAATACAATACAATGCAATGTTATTCAATTCAGTGCTATTAATGTACACCTTCTACAGACAAATAAACACAAATATAATTGATTTTAAATTGTAATAGTATGTTAGTGTTTGGAGTTTGAAGTGGGTTATGGTGTTTAAACTGATTCTTTATTCGGTACATTAATATTCCATAAATACCAAATAAAACAAACAATTTACCAAACCTTTACCCAATCTATCGAATGTTTTTTATTTTATCAAATGTAATAATCTATACAATTTATATTCGCTAAATAGTTTCACTTGTTCTTTATATTGACATTCACATTTGATATTAATACATGTATTTGTGTGATGCAGCGAATCAATTTGTTTTCCTTAAGGCACGTATAATTCAATTAATTATTTGTACATTCGGTATTTAAATTATTTATATTCGGTAAATACCGAATGCCACATTCGATAAATTTCGTTATATTTCGATAATTTGCGAGACTTACGGTCACGTGATATATTTGTACTATGTAGAATAGCTGCGCGGCCATTTTGCAAATCTCGAAGTCACGTGACAAAATGTCGATCAACAACGTAAGTTATCG